TTCAAAACACCCTTATTTCGTGAGGCAGTGCTCACAAATGGATTTAGATCTGCTGCTCTCCAGCCTGCCCAGGACTTTGGACACTAGCACAGACTCAACAACCCCAAGACTTGGGGCACCAGCCTGCCAAATCCCCACTGTCCAGCTCCGTTACACCATTTCTCCATGGAGCAATCAAATTTCCCTCCCACACAGAGAAATCAATCAGCGGGTGTCACAACAGCTAATAATTTTCAGTTACCTTCTTCCCTGCACACTGAATTCAGGCAGAAGCAGAAGTACATAAATACCATTTGAGTGACTATTACAAATGCTTGAACCTGGAGCCTAATGGATCCTCCACGCTGGCAAGTTTTCTAATGCTGCTGCGGTTACTGACCCTTCACCCCCCATCTCGATCATCCTGGATACCTGAAAATTTCACGTCCTCTGATGCTGATTAGGAAGACTCCCATGTTCTCCAGCCTCGACTGTTTACATAAATAGACACTTTAATGCATTTTGCCAGCAAGCTTTCCTTTGAGGCTCTGGCACAGATGGTTGATATTTCCATGCCGCAGCGGCTATTAGATCGTAATGTTACTGGTGACGACTCTACATCATCTGTGCCATGTACACTCCAAGCCCCTGCAGCAGGATGCACTAGGAATTCAGCTTGAGATACCGTGGGCTGAGGCTGCTCCTGCCTCCTGCAGATGGAGTTTGCCCACCTTGGTTTATGGCACTGCTGCTTTGTGGATTTCTACAACACCTCGCTGTAGCTGGGGGTGCTCCACAGGTTATCCTCCTGCTAGGGAGATGTCAGGCATCACCTCTTCCCACTTCGTTGAAGAATTGCCTCCTGTGGATGATGAGCTTTTCTCCTTGGGTGCCATCCCAAAGAGTTACTCACCCCTGTCATCTCTCCAATTTGCTTTTAAGAATTAACAAAAGGTTCTCTACAGGTTTGAACCAATTTCTTCTTTCTTCCTTCAGAGACACCAGAGTTTTGGACCACTCTAGATCCACGTCGCCCCAAGCTCCAGCCATGGATTTGAGCTGACTGCAGCTTTGGGGAGGCCAGTGCAGGACTCTCCAGTCTCTTGTTATGTTAACAATGGCAAAACACCGCAGAGACGGCGGCTGAAATTCAAGCGCTATTTAAACAAATGAGTATGTAGGGTATAGTTCATACAATGCGAGTTCAGACAAGGAAAATCGGAACAGCCAGGCAGCTCAATGCGAACCAGATTTTAAAAACAAAAACAAAACCCCAAAGCCCTTCCTCAAGGAAGCCCTTGCCGAATTCTTTCCCCTGCTAAGGAGTCCAACATCACGCCTTGTACTAAAGCCTTTGCATTTCACTCCAAGAAAGGAGTTGGAGGGGAAAAAAAAAAAAACACAGCACATTATGGAACACAGTCTGGCTTACAGCCAGGGCTGGGGGGAAAGCAGCACAGAAACCCTCTGGTTGAGCAGCACATTTTACTCCTGCTCTATGGCAGAACAAGCTTTTGCAAAGCCCTAGCCGTTTGAACCCGCAGCGCTGCAGACTCTCAGCTTCCCTAAGGCGAACCAGTGAATTGGTTCAACAGTGTATTTAAAATCCCCTGGAGTCTACCTTTAAATCACCTTTATATTCCTCTACCCAAAGCTAATAGTTTCTACCTGCATTTTGCTTCATCTCTGTAGAAAAACAAGCTATTTAGCAGTCACATTAATAATCCGCAGCAATCTGGTTGTCATTTCCCTGATGGAAAATTTCACACTGCTGCCCAGCAGCCGTGACGTGGTGAGTGCTATGTGCACCTCAAACCGCTCTGCTTTCCTCCCACTAAACCCAGCAGTCATGAGAAAGGCAAGAGGCAGAGCTGGACGGGTGGGGAGGACGGGCAGGAAACGCAGAGTTAACTCCAGTCGGGTGCACCCATGGTTCACACGCGTGCAGGAACCACGTGGAAACAACCTGATGCGGAGTGAGAAAGCAAGCTCATGTCAGAAGGAGCTTAGAGGAAACCCAGCTCCTGAACCTCCAGCTATTCGATGGTAAAATACTAGTTGTTAATGACTTTACTGTGGAAGGTGGTCTATGGAGAGGAGCTTTGGGATGGAAGGTTCTAAGGTAGGAGACGAACTCCTGGGGACATGAACTACCTTTGCTATGTGCATCCAGCACCCCTGGCCATGGGTGCTCAGTCCGGCCAGGTTGACTGAAGGGTGAATGCAAACAAACAGCAAGAGGTGGGGGCCAGTGTTCTCAACACACTCCCAATTTCCATCCATATTGATGTGCCTTCAAAGAATCACTTTAATTCTAAATATCCCAACCTGGCCTTCTCTGGTTGATGAGTCCGTTAAGCAAGTGATTGAAAGATTGTTTCAGTCTTCTAGGCATCTTCCATGGAGAAAAGCAAGTCCCTCCAGGATGTCTGTCCCACTGTGAGATGGAAAACCTCCAGAGGAGCATACTTTTCTCCCCTGGCTACAACGAGGACCTCAACTGACCAGCTCTGGCCTTGAAGTCCGGGATGCTCTGGTGGTCACAAAGCTGCTGAATCCCACCCAACACTGCTGGGGACAGATAGAAGGGCAGAAGCCTTCCTCCTCCCAAAGTAACCGCCAGCCCATCCTTCCTCTCACACGGTAGCTGTTAGCATGTCCTCTCCCCTCTGGCAAGGTGCTGGTAAACAACACAAGGCTTTTGACATGGCACCATAAAACATGGCCTGAAAGTATTTATCCTAATATAGCCCGGCGTGCCCAGGGTGGCCTCATATGAAAAGCCCAAGAGGTAAATATTCATTAAATAAGCAGAGAGCTTAATATAGAAAGTCACGGAGTCAAGTACTCTTCAAGCCCCCTCACGTCTTTGCAAACATCAGCCAATGAAGATAAATTTGGCGCAGCTGATCACTTGCACTTTTAGGAAAGGCTCTTCTAAAAGAAAAAAAAAATCACATGTTTCAGTGTTTATAATCTCTGCAGAAAGGCCTGGTCCAGCATTTCTCCTCTCTAATTCCTGCTCTCATAAGTATCAGATTATGAAACTGCAGACTATAAGCCTCCTGAGTTTACAGAAAAACACCTCTCTGCTCTCTGCTGCCACTTTGAGCAGATGAACTAATAAAAACAAGCTCTGCTATTCACTCCAAATGCCTGGGAGAAAGGAATCTGGAACAGTAGTAGCTTCAAAATAGCGTCAAAGAAAGCAACCACCCACAGCGTCTGGAGTCCCCCCACGCTTATCAGCTCCCTTCACCTTGTTACCCGAAAACCACCACAAAAATCTGCTTCTTCCCATCCAGCTGCCTGCTGGGACTCACTGCTGGCCAGGGCAGAGGCCAGCACCCCGCTGCCCTATTTCCCCCAAGCCAAAAGATTATGGAGCTGTGTTGCCTTTAGGATGTTTGATGATGGGAGCTTGCTGGGATGGTCCCCCCGGCACACGCATGGCAGGAGCCTACACCAGCGTCTCCCAAAGGTGCTCCTGATAACGGGCAACAAGCTTTGACAATCCGCCCCTTGGACAGTTGCAGCAAAGACACAGCGGATCTGCTTTCACCTTTCAGCCAAAGGAGGAATATAACTGTTTATCGGTTTCTGTGAGCCACTGCTCCCCTGGTTCTTAGGAAATGATCATCCCAGTATTATTAAATAAAGGTGGAATCACTCAAGCTTCCCCGCAGAGCTCCTACCAAGGGCAGCACACGAAGGTGAAACCTGCAGGACTTCAGAGCACGTTGCTGTTTAATGTGTACTGAAAACAACGGTTAGCCAGCCAGACTGTATTAGGATGTCAGGGAGAAGGTGATGGCTGGAAGGGACACATTTAGCACAGCCGTGTCTCCCCAGTGTTCGGTCATTGAGGCATTAATGCCACGGGAGGACACGGGAATTTGGAGCCGATCTGCCACCACCGCTGCCACTGGGAGCTGTGGGAGAAACGCCTCTATGTGCCACTGCGAGCAACTCTGCAAACACAAAACGTGCCAGGAAAGGAGAAAAGTAAACAGCCACAACTCAAGACGCAAGGGAGTCCCCAGCAAAGGCTGGCGCTGGGACAGGGGTGGCCGTATCTGTCTGGAGGGGGAGAGGTCTGGCATCCCAGGAGAAGCGCCGTGCCAGACCAGGCACTGGGAGCCCTGGGTGTGTAACAAGGTTTTGCAGCATCCCAGCATCCCCGCTAACAAACTCTTCCCCCCCCCCCA